AACCTAATCTGTTTACCAGTTCGTGTTTAACGTTATCTGTTTACCAGTCCGTGTTTAACCTAATCTGTTTACCAGTTCGTGTTTAACGTTATCTGTTTACCAGTCCGTGTTTAACCTAATCTGTTTACCAGTTCGTGTTTAACGTTATCTGTTTACCAGTCCGTGTTTAACCTAATCTGTTTACCAGTTCGTGTTTAACGTAATCTGTTTACCAGTAGTTCGTGTTTAATCTAATCTGTTTACCAGTTCGTGTTTAACCTAATCTGTTTACCAGTTCGTGTTTAACCTAATCTGTTTACCATGTTTAACCTAATCTGTTTACCAGTTCGTGTTTAACCTAATCTGTTTATCATGTTTAATCTAATCTGTTTACCAGTTCGTGTTTAACCTAATCTGTTTACCAGTTCGTGTTTAACCTAATCTGTTTACCATGTTTAATCTAATCTGTTTACCAGTTCGTGTTTAACCTAATCTGTTTACCATGTTTAATCTGATCTATTTACCAGTCCGCTCGCAACTTTATAATTATTAGCGAACACATGCAGAATCAAAGTAGTCATTTTATTTTTAGGGGTGAAGCCGCATAACAGACTATCTGTGCTGCGCTCACCATAGGGATCGAGCCCCGAATTCTAGCGTTACAAGCTTTTAAGCACACAAAAGTAACATCAACTTGTACAAAAATCAGAAACGCCTTCTGCTCCTCCCCCCCCCCCCCTCAAGCGGCGACGAACGACAAGTAATATATAATATAAACTGCATTAATATTAGGGGAAAAACCATATTTACAGTGGCAGTTTGACTTTACACACAAATATATCATAAAAATCCATTATCAAGTTAAAAGGTATCGAATCAGTTAGCTGCATTGATCTTAACCGAAGCTGAAGGCCATGGTAAAGTAATACCCGCATCGTTTGTTGGTGTATAAATATAGGTGAGAGAAAAAACGTGTAGATTGTCAGCTGGTTGTCAAGGTATCAAGGCATAGAAATAGTTCAGACATCTTCCTGCACCGGAACAGAGGGTTTGACCTGTGTAATTATTTACATTTATAGACCATAATCTAGTGTAACGAAATCAAATATATAGCTTAACAGAAAGTATTTGAATTGTTTGTGTGTGGAAGGTTTATACATAGATTAGATATTCCAACAGTCTGTATGATCACGATGTTTTAACTATTCCGGCTACTAACCGTAGTTTGTTCTCAAGTCACCAAAATAAATGGAAGGAATTGGTTCATATGATCTCACCAGATGTCGTGTAACAATATTATGTTGCTAGGCAATTTCGTCCCTCCCTGTACACGGGAAGGTTGTCTGTGATTGCTGTTTAGAGGTTTTTGCTTTGTTTTCAATTTCGCGCAAAGCTACACGAGGGCTATCTGCGCTAGCCGTCCCTAATTTAGCAGTGTAAGACTAGAGGGAAGGCAGCTAGTCGTCACCACTCACTCGCCGCCAACTCTTGGGCTACTCTTTTACAAACGAATAGTGGAATGATCGTAACATTATAACGCCCCCACGGCTGAAAGGGCGGGCATGTTCGGTGACGGGGATTCGAACCCGCGACCCTCAGATTGCGAGTGAAGACATTATAGCAATCACATGTCAAGACATTATACCAGTCATATGTCAAGACATTATAGCAATAATGTCTTAACATATGATCGGCATAATATCTTGACATATGATTGGTGTAATGTCTTAACATATGATTGGTATAATGCTTTGACATATGATTGGTATAACGTCTTGACATATGTTTGGTATAATGTCTTGAAATATGATTGGTATAATGTCTTGGCATATGATCGGCATAATATCTTGACATATGATTGGTATAATATCTTGACATATGATTGGTATAATGTCTTGACATATGATTGTTATAATGTCTTGACATATGATTGGTATAATGTTTTGACATATGATTGCTATAATGTCTTGACATATGACTGGTATAATGTCTTGAAATATAACGGCATAATATCTTGACACATGATTGGTGAATCATATGTCAAGACATTATACCAATCATATTTCAAGACATTATACCAATCATATATCAAGACATTATACCGATCATATGTTAAGACATTATACCGATCATATGTCAAGACATTACATCAATCATATGCCAAGACATTTTACCAATCATATGTCAAGACATTATACCAGTCATATTTCAAGACATTATACCAATCATATGTCAAGATATTATGCCGATCATATGCCAAGACATTATACCAATCATATGTCAAGACTTTATACCAGTCATATGTCAAGACATTACACCAATCATATGTCAGTTTTTCCTCGTTATTTTGAAACTTGTTAGATAAGTTTCGAAGCCATCAAATATTTAAGATAACTTTTTTAATCAAGAAAACGTTTCACCATTTGTATCTTCACAACTTTTAACGTAAGTGGAGTAGAGGGTGTTGGAGTTCATGTCAAATTTGGTTTATGGAGGTTGTTTTTGTTTAATTGAATTGCTTTTTTATGTCAACTTGATACCGAAGATCTAAAGTAATTCCTTGAGTTTGGTGTTGATCACGACGTGTATTGGAAACATCTACAGTCGTCTGTTAACTAGGACAAGTAGCACGTGTATTGGAAACATCTACAGTCGTCTGTTAACAGGACAAGTAGCACGTCTGTTAACTGGACAGGTAGCACTGTAGAAGTTTCCAATACACGTGCTACTTGTCCAGTTAAACGTGTATTGGAAACATCTACAGTCGTCTGTTAACTAGGACAAGTAGCACGTGTATTGGAAACATCTACAGTCGTCTGTTAACAGGACAAGTAGCACCTACTTGTCCAGTTAACAGACGACTGTAGAAGTTTCCAACACACGACCTAAAACTGTTTGCGCATCTAATCCTAACAAGCATAAAAATACCCACTCTCCGTTGTGGGGTTCAAAGATCCACTCATGATTCACAGAATCCCCAGGTACCGATCAAGCTCCCTCATTATCTACAGTTACTTCTATAGTTACCTGAAAGAAAAAAACTACGTTAGGACACTCGCCTGTGTTTGGTTCTGCTAGTTTTTGAGTTGAAATATGAACACAGTTTCAATAATGGCGTCCCCGAGATCCCGAGGGGGCCAGGAATATAATATCCGATGCCAGATCTGGGTACAGAGACTCTGAAACTTATTGTCAGACCCCATCACACCTTCCAGGGGCCTTATAGCCATATATACAAGGACACCCCTGGGCCACCCCGAATCCGCCTGCTTACTCTAGGACTTTGGGGAAAAGTTAGCTGCACAAACATACTTTTATACAAACCTATAAGCTGAATTGACACAGATTTACACAAAAATGTCGAAACACACACACACACATAGACACGACTTGTATATTCTAAGGTACTTTGTTTTCAGATAATGAGAAAAAGCGTAATTTCCTTTATAAACAGTTTCTTCCGTCCCCTACGTTTAATGTTGTCTTATTACATTTCTTGTCGCCAATAATATGAGCTTATTTGGTAGTTGGATTTGCCGGAGAATGTAACAGTCTGCTGCTATTTCTCCCCTGAGTCCTCCTCGTTCAGTCCTTTGTTAGCTTAGCGTCGCTTTCAATCTGCGTACTTCCGTTACTGTGGTTCTTGTTTGCCCGTCTTCAAGGTTAAGACACCTAGAAACGTTAATCGTTGGAGGAAAAATCCAGGATTTCGGAGTAAACAGAATTTATGTGTTATTGGAAAGGAAAGATGAATATTACACGGGGGGATTTCCTCTAATTATTTGTATAAAGTTTTCCTTGAATGGGTCTTAAGTGTACTTTATGTTTTTATTTACTAAACTGATTAACAGTGTGAAGACAGATTCATTATGTCAAAAACGACTAAAAGGAAGATGACGTTTTCAAAATTGGTTTTAACAGACAATTTTAACAATGTGGTTTGAAACAGGCGGTTTCAACAATACGATGTTAAAGACAGCTCTAAATACGGTTCTAATAATGCGGTGTTAAAAACGGTTCTAACAAGGCGGTCTTATCGACATTTCAACAATGCGGCGTTAAAGATGGTTTTAACAATGCGGCGTTAAAGACGGTTTCAAGAATGCGATGTTAATGACGGTTCTAACAAGGCGGTCTTATCGACTATTTCAACAATGCGGTGTTAAAGACGGTTTCAACAATGCGATGTCAAAGACGGTTTCAACAATAAGGTGTTAAAGACGGTTTCAACAATAAGGTGTTAAAGTCGGTTTCAGCAATGCGGTGTCAAAGACGGTTTCAACAATAAGGTGTTAAAGACGGTTTCAACGATGCGGTGTCAAAGACGGTTTCAACAATAAGGTGTTAAAGCCGGTTTAAACAATGCGGTGTAATAGACGGTTTCAACAATAAGGTGTCAAAGACGGTTTCAACAATGCGGTGTAATAGACGGTTTCAGCAATGCGGTGTTAAAGACGGTTTCAACAATAAGGTGTTAAAGACGGTTTCAACGATGCGGTGTAATAGACGGTTTCAACAATGCGGTGTAAAAGACGGTTTCAACAATGCGGTGTAATAGACGGTTTCAACAATGTGGTGTAAAAGACGGTTTCAACAATAAGCTGTTATAGACGGTTTCAGCAATAAGGTGTTAAATACGGTTTCAACAATGTGGTGTAAAAGACGGTTTCAACGATGTGGTCTAAAAGGCAATTTTGATTATACTACTTTTAAAGATAGTCTTAACAATGCTTTATTACAGAAAGAATCAACAATGCAGTTTTGAAAAGCAATGTTGACAATACCGTATATATATCGTATATATATATATATATATATACGGTTTCAATATTGCCTGTTTATAAAGAGGTTTATTTTAACAATGTGTTTTAAATATAGTTTCAAAAATGTGTTTTTTAAGCTGTTTCAAGAATACTGTTTTTAATTTTTTTTTTCCATAATGTGATTTTTAAATACAGATTCGACAATACCGTTTTTAAAGAGTCTCAGCCTTGTGCTTTTTTTTAAAAGGCACTTTCAAAACGTTTGATAACAATTTGTGGTTAAGCACAAAGATACACAGTGGGCTATCTGTGCTATGCAAATTATAGGTATTGAAACCCAGATTTTAGTGTTATAAGCCTCCAGACTTACTGCTGAGCCACTGGGGGGGGGGGACTTCATAAAATAATGTCCTTTCAGAGATAAATAATGAAACAAAGAATTTAATTAAGTGTGTTTGTTGTTATATTTTCACAGCGGATTAAGACATACAGTTCATTTGAGAAAATTAGTATAAAGTTTACATTAGGAACAAGACTTAGTTTAATATTTACTCTAGATAATATTTGAAAGAAACCTATTAATGATAGTAAGCAATTTTTATCCCAAATGACGTATGAGAACATTTATTTTATTATCAATATGATTCATAAAAATAAAGACACAAAAACCTGTGCTTTCTGAACTTACACAGTTCAACGGCGCTTCTGGGGAGAAACGTCGTATATAAATATGCCTATTTTAGATCTTACAATGAGTTAAATAGTACTCTTGCAGGAAGCTGTCTCTAGCTGCGCATACGATAATTCTACTACAGTGAACTATATTGAATATTATTATTATTTTTAATAGCGGGATTGACCCTAACATTGTAACACCCTCACGGTTGGAAGGGCGAGCATGTTCGTTAACGGAGGTTCGAACCCGCGATCACCATATTGCGAGTCGAGCACATTAACCACCAAACTATGCCAGGCCTTAAGGTATGTTTTTAGGACTAACCTAAATCTTCTAAGCTGAGCGAAACTCGTGAGATATTATTGGGATTACGGCCGAAAACATCGTTAACAGCAAGGGTACCAAAGTATTGAAACAATGCATTCTAATCTTTATAAGTAGGAATGTAAGAAAAGTATACATAATTAGTTATAACGACTGCCAGGTTTATTTTTAGTTTCGCTCTGTGATCACAAACTCTGCTCTGATCGGATGTTTATATCAATATGTCACTATATTACTATGTGTTACCTGATTATAAGAACAAGTAAAGAGTAGTCGGTCCTTAAAAATGTACACATCCCTTGGTTTTATTAGTTGCTCATAAATATTACAGTGATTTGTAGTGAAAGAATAGCTTGTTTTGTTTGTATGCTGGACTACAAACACCATTAACATGAATGAACTACAAGTACTACTAACATGAATGGACTACAAACACCATTAACATGAATGAACTACAAGTACTACTAACATGAACGTACTACAAACACCATTAACATGAATGAACTACAAACACCATTAACATGAATGGACTACAAGTAATATTAACATGAACGTACTACAAGTACTACTAACATGAATGGACTACAAGTACTACTAACATGAATGGACTACAAGTAATATTAACATGAACGTACTACAAGTACTACTAACATGAATGGACTACAAGTACTATTAACATGAATGGACTACAAGTAATATTAACATGAACGTACTACAAGTACTACTAACATGAATGGACTACAAGTACTATTAACTTGAACGTACTACAAGTACTATTAACATGAACGTACTACAAGTACTATTAACATGAATGGACTACAAGTACTACTAACATGAATGGACTACAAGTACTATTAACATGAATGGACTACAAGTAATATTAACATGAACGTACTACAAGTACTACTAACATGAATGGACTACAAGTACTATTAACTTGAACGTACTACAAGTACTATTAACATGAATGGACTACAAGTGCTATTAATATGAATGGACTACAAGTACTATTAACATGAACGTACTACAAGTACTATTAACATGAATGGACTACAAGTACTATTAACTTGAACGTACTACAAGTGCTATTAATATGAATGGACTATAAGCACTATTGACATCAATGGACTACAAGAAGTGTTAACATGAATGGACTGTAAGTATTGTTAACATGAAACTGGGTTAAGTATATTATGGTACATTTCGGTCATCAAATTTCTTAAAAGTTTACCGTTTATAGTGTACGTGTTAAGTGTTTCACTTGAAGGCCAACTCATCATCAGTTAGGTTTAAAAATTCTAGTAAATATTTACATGACTTTGTTATCGTGGACGTGTACTCTCGAAACTGTTTAACCTAGCTTGGAGATCTAGATTTACGAATGGCTAAACTAACAGAAGAGTTCATCTTTCACTAAATTCTTGACCACATGTGGCCCTGTAGGGGGGAAACACAGCTTATGGTAAACACAGCTTGCGTTTAATAATACAACCAAACCACCATTTCACACCTGGGATAGATGTGTGGTATGGTAAAAATTACCATCACAGAACAAACCACACTTGTAGAGAAGCACAGCTTGCATTTCACACCTGGGATAGATGTGTGGTATGGTAAAAATTCCCATAACAGAACAAACCACCCTTGTAGAGAAGCCCAGCTTGCATTTCACACCTGGGATAGATGTGTGGTATGGTAAAAATTCCCATCATAGAAAAAACCACACTTGTAGAGAAGCACAGCTTGCATTTCACACCTGGGAT